ATACATACATACATACATACATACATACATACATACATACATACATACATACATACATACTTTGTTCTATCCACAACCAACATTTCAGATACTTAACAATTATGTCATTGTTCTCTAAAAAGTCAGATCATTTTTTCCCAATTCCATATTTGCTTTAGGAAAGTACATTCTGTCGAAAATTTAAATTGTAGATATCTGAGATGATCCGAAATTATTTTAAATATAAGTAGATTTATGTATTTTCACACAGTTCTTTACAAACAAAACAAAACTTTATGTATGGATTTTACTATCCTCAAAACTAACTAAATCAAATCTAGTAATTAATTCAGTCTAATGATAATGTGATTTCTTCAACTTTACAGTGATGTCCTATCCTGGTCCTTGACAACCACTATCCTGCGCATTTAACTTGTTTCTTTGCTCTTCAACTTCTACGAAAGCTTGTTCCTCACCCATTCATTCAAATCAGGTGTGTTCATTGTCAAAGCTGGGAAACCTTTAAAAACGTGCAGAATAGTGGCCCTCAAAGACCAACATTTGACAACAGTGTGAGACTTAATGGCACAAATTTTACATCAGTATAAAAATAATTTTATTCATATCAGTGAATTAATTTATTTATTTAGGGCCAAGTCACAATGGTCGTCTCAGTGCACAGCACAAAAACATTCACATATTAAAGCCAGTTATTAAAAGTTATCAATATAAGGAAACCAGCAAACTGCGTTAATACTACAACATTTTTTCCTTTTTTAATTAAGAGATTGTGCTTTAAAAAATAAAATGGATTAAAATAAAATTATGAATGATAACAACTTCATTTTGACCATCCAAATGCTTTTATTGACAGAAATGAGGTATTGCTTCATTATATGCTACAACGGTCTGCCATACAACTGRGGTCGAGAAGCTGACAGATTGACGTCATCGAGACTGACGCAGAACGAACAGAGGCAGAGCAGCAACGGCAACAGCATCCCAGCTAACAAGAGGTACATCATCAATCTTTCACCATCAGCGAGGTGTTTTCTCACTGATCATCCTCCAGAAAAATAGTAAATAAAAACGGTAGGAACATCAGCGAGTGTACTGCTAGCTGTAACCAGGCCCTTTGTTTTTGTCTAGGATCCTGTCAGTTGCAGTAATTTCCCTTCGTTGTAGTTTGACTGTCATTGTCAGGTTAGAAAAGCTAGCTGTAGCTTCTTTTTGAATGCAGTTGAACAGGTGCTCAGTTTAGTAAAAAATAACGACACTGCTTATAAGGTTGGATTGTTATGTTTGGACACTACTGCGCCATTATGAAGAAATTGCAGTCAGTGCCATTATGGAAGTCCTATAATAATGATTAGTGCAGTAATAAACATAAGTAAAGCGTGTTATCCTTTGAGGAAGTGAAGCAAGGTTGTTAACGCTGATCCTCTTCCTGGCTTGTCAAGAAAGATTGACTCGTGTTCTTTGAGTTCATCTTCATTCACAGCTAAACTAATTTCTTTCCTTCCACCTGCTTAAGGAGTCCATTAATGCATAAAAATATAAGACACCAATTTTAAACTGTTGATATTTGTGTAATTAAAAGAAAATGAAAATGAAAATCTAGCACAGACATTTATAAAGCTTACAAAAGGGCTTATGTGATCATGAGTTAAATTTATAAAGTTTAGCTCTACTATGTTGGGGTCAATCTCTTACCTGCTTTTGAGACGATAATATTGAAGTGATCCAGTTTTCAGAAATGTTTGTTGTTAATAACAAAAACAAAACAAAAAAAAAACCAATTTGCAAAATACTAATTTCAAAGACAACTTTATCAAATCATTACATCTGTCAACTCCTCAGTTTTTGAAGTAAATAATCTTGTTTGAGTTTTGTCTTTCACACCTGAACAACAACACCAAAAATATTGTAGTTTTGTCTTGCATCTTGTGTGTGTATTGACCAATTGATGTATTTTAGAAAGAAAAATATTATTGATTTGGGCTTGTTTTTTATTTAATAATGCTCTCAATGCTTTCAGTGAGCAGAGTGCTGGATTGCTGACAGCCATGCTGTTGTAAATTGTTTAGGTTGTATTTTGACATTTTCCTGCTAAAGTTGTGCTTTAGATTGAAGCATGTCTGTGTCTTACTAAAACAAGCTGCATTGTTTTGCATCAGTGATGCCTTTACGCACYCATGAGATGCTTTGCACAGTAACTCACCCTGTCTTGTCAATAACTAGTTTGATAGTGTTAGCTCAGTTCACATTTTTTGTGTTATGGTTTTATTTACATTTTACAATGATTATTAAATATTATCATTATAGCAGCAGCCTACATTTCACAAACTCATGTTTTGTTGCAGCTTGTATTGTAAAATTTGGCCTAATCCACATTATTATTGATTTTTATAAAGTATCAAAAATGCAATTTGTCGTATGTAAGACACTGTCAACATACATCAAAATCTGTCATTAGATTCTGCACAGAAACCATCAGCAGCTAGTGAAATACTCTGAACTCCTTTCCACCATTCATTTCCTCTATTGTGCTTTTTGTCCCCATCTTGTGAAGTTCTCTTTTTGCCCCTCCAGTCAACCTTTCTGTTCATCTCAGCTAGTTCGCCTATTCTACCCGTTTACTCTGTTCTACTCCCCCCCCTTATGGACCACCCTGTTTTTTTCTCCCCACTTCCACAGACATAAAAGATAAGATGGCCACCTCCTCCTCCACTCTGGAAGAAGACGAGAGTTTGAAAGGTTGTGAAATCTTTGTGCAGAAGCACAACATCCAGCAGATCCTCAAAGAGTGCATTGTGAACCTCTGCATCGCTAAGCCCGAGCGTCCTATGAAGTTCCTGCGGGAGCATTTTGAAAAGCTGGAGAAGGTTGGTGACATCAACACTCAGTGTGAGCCTCTGTTTTCAGTGTGGGATTTCTGTAGGTTTATTTTGTGTGTTGTATGTTCAAGTGGCTGATTGCCACTATTTCTAAAATCTACATTGGATAGGTAAAATGCATTTTAGTTGCAGTGCATGATGTAGTAAAATAGTAAGTAATAAAATAGTCTTAAAGTTATAAAATGAATAATTTAGGTTAATGTTTGTTATCTTTATTTCATAGATAATATTTTGTAACATGTTTTATATTCAACAGTTGCTTCTGTCTATTTTTCCACTTTGTGCCTTTGTGTTTTCTGAGTGTAACATTGTTCAGGGGATTTACCTAAAAACATAACAGTGTTTTATAATAATAACCAACAATAAAATGTTTCAGGATGTACAAGTACCCATTATTTGAAACAAATGGTCTTCACAATAAAGTCCCTTAGTATTTAACCAACGTGGAATGAGCTGGTTGTTGGGCTTTGATCCTGCAGAGACCTACTTGGCTTGGTTGCTCATGAGTGCATCATGGGATTTGTTGATTTGAACAATGGGCTCCACTCTTACACTGCTGGCAGAATTGGGTCACCAAGGAAGGTGTGTGAGCTGGAGCTGCAGGATGTTCCTGGTGCTCTGATATCACAAACAAAAGAAATGATTGTGGACAAAAAAAGAGCATCTTGATGTCTAAAGGGTGGAACATGGTGAGGAGGGGGTCCTCCTCTGTGCTGCAGGGGTTTATGAATGTGCGTGGTACCTTGTGAAAGCCATCTGATTTTAGCAGCAACTAACATGTGATTCATGTATTCTTTTTCGCATCTGTCGTGTAACCCCAAGTTTAAATATGGAAATTACAAAAAAAAAAGTGGCAAAATTGCTCTGTTTGCAACTTCTTTCATGTTCRGACTCCCTCCATAACAGTCAAAGAGACTCAGCATCAAAATGAGCATAACACTATTAACAGAGCTGCTGCTGTTACTGATGCAGTAGTTATTTGGGATTCTAATGCTGCACAGTCAGAGAGGCAGCATGAATACTAATATATGTGATCAAGCACAACAGAAGAAAGTTTCACGTTATTCTTGCCATAAGACAACGTGCTACATCCTCACTGGCACTTCTTGTTAAGAACCTGCAGTGTGTTGTATAAAAAAATAACAAAAAAAAAATCAGTTTAAACTAATATGAATCAGTGCGATTTGTGGAGCTAACTGCATGTAATAAATAGAAACACATGCATAATGTATTTTCTTCAGAAAGTTACCATCTTAGCAATAGAGTCAGTTTAAAGGGTTATTCTCAGCTCAGTCCTCATGCCCATCCCACAGAGCAGACAGATGTGGGCCAGTCTGGTGCCAGGCTGGCTCTGTTGGTTGACTGCTGGTATGGCAAATGTTTTGTCAGTTATGTGGGCCAGGTCCAGCAATGATGACACTGTGGTGGCCCAGCTGTGGTTTGGTTTATGTGGTTCTGGCCCATTCATGGACCACCTCTGGCACACCACATCTGGGCCACCAAAGGGCAGTTATTCTTTGTGGTATCTGGGCCAACTGTTAGTGCCTTGATGTGGGCCAGAACTGGGCCAGACACATTTTGCTATGTGGAATATGCACACATATTGACTCTGCATGTCATCATTAGTGTTTGTGTCCTTGCGTGTTGGATCTTTTTGTAGTCCTTAGGATATGGCTTATTGCTTAAGAAGCAGAAGTTACAGTGAAAACAGACGTGTGTGCAAGTGGCAGGAAAAACAAATCTGCAGCCTTCTGGGTTTTTTATTGTCAACAGGAGCGTAAAACTATTGTGGTCAGCCCGTTCAAATCTGTGCAAGAATTATGAGGTCAGTTATTTGTGGAGGGAAATGGGCCATGCATGTTTTGTGGTGTCCCACTTATTTAAAAGGCTTACTCTTTTCTAAATCCATTCCCTATCAACATTATTACCTTCATGTAAGCTTTATTGATCAGAAAACAACAGTGATCAACACTTTTTTGTATTTTATCCTCCATGTCTGTGTTTTTTTTTTCATGGCCATTCTCATCAGCACTACTCGCCCACTGCAGGCGGTAACCAAGGCAACATAGGAGGATAGATAGACTGTAGAGCATCCTGTATTCAGTGAACTCTTTCTTCACAAAGTTTATTTCGTCTGTTCTCTATACTGCTTTTCAACATTTTAAATAGATTACAGGGTGTGTTCACTTTTTCCAAATCCCATTTCTTATCTGCAAGAAGTGTTTTCTGTTTCACCCAGTTTGATTTTCTTTCTTTCTTTCTTTCTTTCTTTCTTTCTTTCTTTCTTTCTTTCTTTCTTTCTTTCTTTCTTTCTTTCTTTCTTTCTTTCTTTCTTTCTTT